ATTATATATGACCTGATGCGATAAAAGACAGCATGACTGCAGAAAGGTAGGTGAATTGTTTATTCAAAGCGCTACTGTGCATGCTAACTTTATTATAATGTATTACATTATAATAAAGTAGTGTCTACTTGCTTTCAAACTTTAAAGTTATAACTTAAAGATGATGACATAAGTTTTGATGCACTGACCAAAATAAATCAAATTAGAACTTTTGGTATTTGACTTAATATTTTAAAAATGAAACACTCTCTCAGACTTGACAAAAAATGTATATACATGACAGCTTCATATTACACTTTGATAGAATCACACTAGCAGTGGGTAATTCACACCAAGAATCATGATAACATTTAAGTAACTTGGCATCAACTTACAGTAATACTTTTTTCTTAAATTTGCCTTTTTCCTTTGAATTACTACTGCTCCTAATTACTAAGGTTACAGCTCTTGCCTTCATGTCACTTTCTTTTTTTAGATTAAAACGGCCAAAAGATCATTGGTACTAAGCTACCCAGCATCAGGGATATATGCAGACAGCACCCAGCCACAACCAGTTCACCCTGCTGCCATCTGGGCAGTCGACTGGTCATCGAACGTTTATGCTATTAATTTATTGATTTAAAAAAAATAAAATAATTAACAGCCATCTGTTAAATGCAAACAGAAAACGCAGTAATGATTCTGAATGTCTCAACAAACCGTAAGGAAACCGAACATTTCATTAATTTATTTAAACACAGTAAAAGATAACGTCTTGTTGTTGTTGTTCAAAATACGGAATAAATAACTTCCAACTTCACAAAAACAATATAAATATATATAAAAATACTCAGACTTATCGATACAATGGATAATGTATTATAGGGGTGGGCGATATGGGCAAAAAATAATATCTCAATATTTTTTGGGATTTTGGCGATAACGATAATCAGCCGATATCCTTTAAAATGTGATTAGAATTGTCTGAGCTGGACTTGTGTCCACCAAACGCGTTTACAGCGCTGAGAGCGCTCAAAAACTCATTTTCCAAGCGCCCAGCGGTGTTAAAAGTTGAACAGATTTCAACTTGAAGCGCTCTGAGCGCTGCACTAAAAAAAAACGTCTCCGCTGACATCTTTTTACTGCTGAAGGCGCTTAGCGCTCTGAACGCTGAAGCCCATAGGACCCACGTCTCGGCACTAAATCATCTGAAGTACCGGTAGCTTCAGGGACTGGAGGTGCTTGCATTTTCTCTCTACCATGACAACGCGCTGCTAAACTGTTGCAAGGAGGATGCTAGCGAGAGGTCACGTGATCACGCCATGTGATCACTAGTGGTGTGACTGAATCCTGCCATGCTGTAGAGAGCGCTGCTGCACCGTGTATTAATGGATGTGAGGAGTTTCCGCGGGCGTTTCATTGTTTTTGTCGAAGTAATTTAAATACTCGATAATGGAAATTTGCACATCGTCAAAACAACAATGACGATATTATCGCAAACGATATATATCGCCCACCTCTAATGTATTATGTTATTTACAAATCAACTCGCTACAAACTCACTCATCTTCATGCTTTTCCTGTCCCTGCCTGAACCAGCTGTGTCTAGTCCTGGTTAGAGCTGCTGTAAATTACCTGGCCTCTAAGGCCACCTAGAGCCGAAGGGTCTGTCCTAGGTTTCTGCCTCTTAAAAGGCAGTTTTTCCTTGCCACCTTCGCCAAGTGCTTGCTCATGGTGGTACTGTTTAGTCTCTGTAAATAATGTTATAGGAGTATAAGGAGTTCGGTTTAGACCTGCTCTATTTGAAAAGTGTCCTAAATTGATGCTATACAAATAGAATTGAATTGAATTGAAACTGAAATAAAGGTGAGACTGTATTTGGCCATGGTTAGGGTCACAGGGAGGCTACTGAGCTTGTTGCCTGCTCACCCTTCTCTTGCTATGGGGCCCATTCCGGACCCCTCCCCTCCTCCTCCCTAGCAGTCCAAAAATCCTGTCCTAGTGGTGTTAACACTCCCTGGTACTTTGAGCTTGCAGTCTGGGTACAGTTAGCTAATAGGACCGAAGCTAATGGCAGCAACTTACACAGTTAGCACATGCAGCAACTTACACAGTTAGCACATGCAGCAACGCTGTGTCACAAGACAAAAGGTCCAAGTTGCAACTTTTGTCCCGGTGACCAGGCTTAGCTCCTGTTTGATGCTGTTGCTAATATCTGACTAACAAAAACTGTGTTGTCTAAGACTCTTCTTGCTGGCTAACAGTTAACCTAACTATAAGGGGAAAGCCCTACAAGCAACATCAAAATGCATTGGGGTTTTTTTGGCCAGAGTAGCAGTTTTTATGATAACATTTTAGAATATGGTAAAATACCAGGTAAAATATCATCTGTACAAATATTATATTTTTAACAATTAACCTAAATTAAATTTCCCAAATATTAAATTTGAATCTTATGACCTGTGGTGCCCCCTTTGGCATTATAGTCCACTTTCTTAGTCTAAATAGCCACGTAATAGCCGTAATAGATTAGCTTTTCATCATCTGACAAATACTGCCAAACTCAAGGACTTCATGTTGAATGCCAACCTGGAAAAACTCATGTTGTTTATAGCAGTAGGCAGGATACTTATCAGGACAGATAAATTATCGGCTGATAATGGGAAATTTTATATTATTATATATTATCAGGACAATTTATTTACAGCCGATAATGGGAAATTTTATATTATAATAAATTATCAGGACAATTTATTTACAGCCGATAAATTATTGGTTGATATTAATAATGATTTATTTGGAATTATTATGCAAAAGGATTGATAGACTTTATGCTCTTTGAAAGCCAGAGTATGCATGTAAAGTTTTTTATGAACTATTAGAAAGATTTAATGAACATTTGTCTGAGTTTTTGTTGTGTTGACAACAGTGATGTCAGTTAGTTTTGATTAGAACAGAGCTGTGGAATATTAAATTGTACATCTTTGCTTACTACGTCTTAACCTTTTTTACCCCCAGGAGTGTACCTGCAAGTTATGAACTTCTTTTTAAATTCAACAATGCAAATGTATCGGTTAGTTTATCTGTATTGGCCATGAGAAGCAGTATCGTCACATTTGAAAAAAATCCATATTGTGCAGGTTGTTGCTTATCTAGTAGGGTTGACTACTGCAATGGTCTTTTGACAGGTCTCCACAAAAATACCATCAAAAAGCTTCAGCTTGTTCAAAGTACAGTTCATAAAAAAGTGTTATATATGTAATGTGTAATAATTTATTACAATTATTATAATATTATAGGAAAATGTATTACATATTGGGATCAGGCTGTTTATTACAACATGGGCAGATTGTTACAAAATGTGGGTGTTATTACCTAATGAAGTCAAAATCTATTACATTCTGTCAAAAAAATGCATTGTTATTACATAATGTGTTGTTATCATCATGAGTTGAATTGGTTTGCCTCATACACCGGGAACTCACTTCCTGGACTCAATTCCCACAAAAAAACGCCACAGGTCACATTTCTTAAAGGAAGACTTGTAACATAAAGGTGCAATTAGGCTCTGGGTATGCTAACCAGAGGTGGAGGAAGGATCAAATCCTTTGCTAGAGTAAAAGTACTAATATCCCATTTTGAAAATCCTCCACTACCAGTACAGTACAGTGGGGGTCAGCCTTCCCCCCGCTGCTGAAAAAATAAAATCCTTGTGGAGACTTTGAACACATTTAAAACACCTGTCTTATTTTCTCAATTGTTTATTTGCTAAATCTAATGCTTAAATAAAGCGAAAGTATTTCTTATCTGATTACCTGATTAATCAATGGAACAATCGTTAGAATACTTGATTACTAAATTAATGGATAGCTGCAGCCCTACATCCAACAGTAACAACACAATCTACATAATTACTGTGCTTACTTACAACAACAGTAAAGGTGATCATACACTTAATAAATCAGTATAATAAATATACAAAATGGGCCATCTACATTGCCATAGTGTACTTGGAGCTTGCCTTGAATAATTTACTAAGAACACAACACAACAAAATTTTCTCTCTCTCTCTCTCTCTCTCTCTCTCTCTCTCTCACCCCAACTGGTCGAGGCAGACGACCACCCAGAGCCGAAGGATCTTTCCTAGGTTTCTGCCTCTTAACAGGCAGTTTTTCCTTGCCGCCTTCGCCAAGTGCTTGCTCATGGTGGTACTGTTGGGTCTCTGTAAACGTTATAAGGAGTTTGGTCTAGACCTACTCTATTTGAAAAGTGTCCTGAGATAACTTCTGTTATGAATTGGCGTTCTACAAATAAAATTGAATTGAATTGAATTTCACAAAGGACGTAATCTTATAAAGGAGTATGTTCTGCACCTGCTCTGTTTTTAAACTGTCCTGAGATAATTATTTGGTACTATACAAATAAAACTGAATTGAATTGAAATAATTGACAAGCACCCTAACACATCTACATCTGTCTGAGCATGCTTGAGTCTTAAAGTATTTTGACAGCTTGGACATAAAAAGTTTACGATTCTAAAACCAGCACCAGTGAGCGTCATTAGGTGATAAAACAGCTTTGTGGCCTAGTTAGGAGAGGTCAGGCTCTTGCCCTGATGGCTTCAGCTAGAGAATGTGCTATTTTAAAAGATGGAAGTAACTTGAGACAGTGGGAAGTCTTTTGGCTGGCCAAACATAACTCAAAGCAGCTATCTTGCTATGTGGAATAAGCCATGTTCACAGTGGTAGACTGAACACCCTGGACTAGCCTCTGGAGAAAAAAATGAGAAAAAAAGGACTGCTGTTTTCTAAAAGTTTCTTAAATCATTTACAGATCTGTCAAATTAAAAGCAGGGCCCATCTGGGACACTCACTTTACATATAGTGAAAAACTTACATTGAATTAATTCATTGAGTGAGTCCATTCGAAATGCCAAGGAGAAACACGAGTGTTTTATTTGTTAATGGTAAACGTATACTGTACTTTTATTGCGCCTTTCTAGTCTTCCGACAAATCAAAACGCTTTTACACTACATGCCACATTCCCCCTTTCACACACACATACAGTGAATGGCAAATGCCATTGTAAACAGAAACTAATAATAATCCACATTCGCATCTTGCTAAAGGACTCTTCGCCATGAAGCAGGAGGAACCGGGGGTCCACCGTTAGTAGACAACCTGCTATACCTCCTGAGCTACAGTCCCTTCTGGGCTACTGTAGAAACATAGCGGTTCAACATGGCGGACACCATGGCGGACACCATGGAAGACAACCCGTGACATAAAAGCCTTGTTCTAAGGTAACAAAAACATAATTGTTGTTATGCAAACTTCTTGCTGACACCTTCATCCGATTTCAGAACAAATCTGAAACAACATTTTCAGCATCTTTCGATCTTCCTTGCATCTGATTGGTTGTTTTCATTGAGGCCTGGTGGATTCTTGCAAAAGCCATTAGGAGCACTAGGAGGAGCCCCATATTATCTGTCGTGTGTACTACTGTCAAGATATAGTGATTCAAAATTTTAGCACACATGACAAAAACTTATTTTTCTGCAACATTAATAAAATGTATAATTTGCTTTACAAGATTAGCTCCAAGGTATATGTACTTAATTAAATTGAATGATACCCTATGTTTATAGCAGTACTAAGTATATCCACTTGAATGAGGGTGTGTGTGCTAATGAGGAATTTAGCTAGTGTGTGGTCACTAGGCACACTGCGTTTTGATGTGGTTTCTAAAAATAGACAAAATATGAATATATATGTATTTTCCAACAATGAAAAATATTTCCTCTCACCTCCATCACCGTACGTCTCCACGCCATATCCATCCTGCAACCCGTTACTCCAGGTGCCCTCGTACCTGGCCGGTGTGTTCAGGCTCTGTCGAACTCCGTACCGGCCCTTGAATCCGTGAGTCCACTCTCCCCGGTAAATCCACCTACCCTTCGTTTCTACGCCGAGTCCGTGGCGTTTCCCTTGTGCCCAGTAGCCCTGGTACACATTACCGCTGGGCCAGGTGTAGACGCCGACCACCTCGAAACCGTTGGACCACGAGCCCGAATACTCGCCCTGGCCCTTGGGTCCGGTGCACACACCGTGCCCGTGGGCTTTGCCGTCCTCCCAGCCTCCACAGTAGGTGCCTCCATCGTCAAAGTCGAATCGACCACCCGTCATTCAGAAACGGAGAGTAAAAGTAGCCTACTACTCGGGGGCTTATTAAGAATTCCAGAGTGTGCGAGTTGTTTTCGGATGCGAGATAATGTTGACAGGGAAGCCCCAATGGGAAAATTAGCTTGGGAACGGGGAGTGATAGCGGCTGGGTGCATCAGCAACGCTCTGTTGGTTAGTGAAAGCGGGACGTGGGAGGGTGAGAGGCGGCCGCCACGGCTGCCAGAGTCGCTCCTCAACTGCTGAATTCTGGAAGACTCTTCCTCTCCTCTCTCTGAATTAAAGACTGTTAAGCTATTCAAGATAAAACAATATGGGACTTCCTGTTTGACTTTTCAAAATAAATGCCAACCCTTCAACTATCTAAATATGGGAAATTGCAATCGCAATTACAAGAATATAATTTTTGTATATTTTTTATGGATTTTTTCCGAATGGTACTATTAGCTGTAGCTTAGGAAGCCTACATAGGGCAACATTGCTTTTCCCCAAAGCATTCAGAATAATGCTTTTATTTTGAAAGTAAAAACCCCTTCAGCTTGTACTTGGGTCTCCAGGCCTGTCATGCACGCAGGAGGGTGTATTACGGTTTTCATGTAAAATCTGTTATACCGTTTAGCGTAAAGCACCATACACATCTCTGTGATATTGTTTATTAATTCTAAAAAGATTTTAAAAACTGCCTGTAGATTTGACTATTGTAAGGCCACTGGATTAAAACAAAAACAAAGTTATGGTAAATTGTCAAAGATAATATAGAATATATAAAATAATATATGAAAAAGACCAGTAAAACCAAAGCTTTGATAAACACCTGACCTTTGCTGTATTGTACTTCCTGGTGAAATACTGTCATTAAGAGCTGAGTTTATATGTGAGCAAAGATTTAAACTGACTTCAAGACTTAAACTCATACTGAAACTGTGCTGTTTATCATGTAGAAAGCAGCGAATCACTGGACACGATTTTGTCAGGGTGGCCATGGCCCCCCCTGGCCCCCCACTTTGACAGTGCCCCTGGGCCATCATCTAAAACCATTTTAGGCTACTGCTTTCACTCCTCTGTCCTGGTAAACGACATTAAACTATTTGACGTTTCCACACACAGTGAACTCTTTTCGTTGCATACCACGTAAAACACACTGGCTAAAAAGTAGTAAATATATAGTACAGGTTATTTGTAAATTAGATATATTTGTGACTTTTAAGTCAGACAAGCAAGACCATTAAGACAGTAAGTCAGTCAGGGTACAAGGTCATCTCAGTGCATTGTCAATCACTGCCATCTTCTGGAAAATCAAGTTTTTACAGCTCAGTCTAATGCTTGAAAGAGTTTTCAAACTTCTTATTTTTGCAGGCAACTTTTAAAAAAATATTATGCCGAGAGAAACACATCTGGTGTATTTACATGGTCCCCCAACACTTTTTTTTACAAGTTCTATGAACCTGCTTGGTGTCCATTAATTTATGATGTAGGATACCTTGTTTCAGTTAAAGTCTGTCTGTTTACCGTTCTAAATTAATGCGCTGAAATAAATTGAATGAAAACTAAATATATATGTATGTCTCATAAATATATGGTAAATGTACTGTACTCATATAGCGCCTTTCTAGTCTTTTGACCACTCAATGTGCTGTACACTACATGCCACACTCACCCCATTTGCGCACATTCATACACTGATGACTGCTTACCTGAACAGAAACTACTCATTCACACACAGTAATTTCTGTTTGCTAAGTATTTGCTCCAAGAGCTGGAAATAGAGACAATTCATTGATTACAACTAAGGCAATAAGAAACACAATATATATATTTGCTATTTATTATTTATATATTACCTGTTATATTTCATGTTTATACAGTAATTTTGAACACACTGTCTATTGTATCTTCTCATAGACTGGCACCCACCAAATCACCAAAGTTAGGTAACACAAACAAGCAAAATTATTTGCTTGTGGTCATTGCAACGTGGTTGTGGTCATTGCAACCACCGCCAACATTTTTGTGGAAGTTCTCTAGCTGAGGTTGAGTTGCAAAGACTTCTACAGTATCCATTAGCTTTTTGAAATTGAAAGACTAATTGTTTGAGGAATTAATTAATTAGACAGTGTGATATATACTGCCAGGCTGCTAAAGACCCCAGGCATTTAAATGTTCAGTGTGTGGCATCTAGCAGTATAGTTGCAGATTCACTTGTTTCACCCTCCTCTTCCAAGCATGAGAAAGTAACTACAGTGGCTGTGAAATGAGCAAAAAATGAAAATGGCCCTATCTAGAAACAGTCTTTGGTTTGTTCGTTCTGGGCTACTATAGAAACATGACGTTTCAACATGGCAGACTCCATGGAAGGCAACCTGTGACGTCTGTGGACAAAATCGGCCCAGGTCTGTGATGCGTGTCAACTTTTCACCTATTGGTTTACCATAACAATGAAAAACTTCCTTTTAAGAGGCAGAAAGTTCGATCAGACCCCGGCTCAAAGTAGGTGCCTGTCTACCTCAAACAGTTGGGGTTAATGATGATGACAATAATGATGACGATGACGATAATGATGATAATGACAGCCACAACGATGAGGAATGAAACAATAATAATAATAAGACAATAATAATAAGCAGACAAAACCAGGATCCATTCTGCATTCAGAGAGCATAGTGTTCTAGTGGGGTAATAGGGTACTATGAGCTCTTTAAGATATGAAGGTGCCTGACTATAAAAAGCTTTGTAGGATGGGAGGAGGATTTTAAATTCTATTCTGAATTTTACAGGGAGCCAGTGCAGAGAAGCTAATACAGGAGAAATATGATCTATTTTCCTAGTTCCCGTCAGTACTCGTGCCACAGCATTTTGAACTAATTGTAGTGCCTAATGACTTATTGGGGCTGCCTGATAATAAGGAAATGCAGTAACCAGGCCTAGAAGTAACAAATGCATGGACTAGCTTTTCTGCATCTTTCTGTGATAGGATGTGTTGGACTTCTGCAATGTTACGTAAGTAAAAAAGACAGTCATAGAAGTACCATGGGAAAATGGCAATAGTAATCTTTTAAGGTTTTATGTGATCCCTAGAGATATCCATGTTTAACATAGTTAAAAGTATACCTTTATATACTTAGTAGATCAAGATAAATTCAGTTTTGATGATGTGATGAATCTCTAGGGTTCTCTTCCAGTAGAGAAAAAGTGGTAAAGTACTCTCTTAGGCATCTTTTTCAGTGTGCCCTTTCAATTTAACAATAAATATACACACGTGGGATTCATTATAGGTCACAGCCAGCACCAGAAAATAAAAAACACAAATTGTGTGCTCTTCATAAGAAAAACTATATAAGAAACGAGCAAATGAAATCTCCTCATCCATACCATTAGAAATGTGGATCTCAAGGATTAGTATCCAATATGTCTCCATTTGGAGACGGGCTCTGCCCCCTTCATTAGTTTTCAGTACAATTATGACAGGGAAAATTTTGCATTCTTGATCTAAAACAAAAATTAACGGGCCCTCTTAGGAAAATCTGACTTCACTAGGTAAGGGACCTCTTATAAAAATATCTAGGCAGAGTTTGAAATGACCTAGCAATTTGAGGGTCACTTTCCAATATGTGCCAGTGTCTACTTACTAGTTGTTTAACTGACCTAGATATAGGACTGTAAGTGGACACAAATGCAAGCCCCTGAGAAGGTGTTGCTAGGTTTGAGTAAATCAGACCGCCATACCCTATTGTAATGGTTTTATAATAATTAATCATTATATCACCTTGCTAATCTAACAAAAATTTCCCAATAGAATTTTAAATAAATAGTTAGGAACCACTCCCTAATGGGAGTTGAGCGTGCCTTTACAGTAAATTACAGTAACAGGATGTCTTTTGACTAAACACACAAGCCTCTTTTTTTTCCAAATGTTTCATTCATTCAGGAATGTCTTAACCTGGGGAATGTATAAAATAGATCCTGGAAAGTTACTTACTTGGGTGTAAAAACATGTCCACGTATTGACCACTAGATGGAGGCAAATTAATGGTTTATGTCATTCCATTTCTTACAACGCTATTAATCTTTTTTTTTTTTTTACAAATGTCTCCTTGGCTTACTCATAATGTTGTTTATATTATTGTTTATTTTGAAATAGCTTAATGTTTCTTCTTCTTTTTAGTTTGTACACTTCTCCCTTGATTTTCTCCATATGGTACTGTGTTGACATTGAGTAGATAACCTGAGCCAGATCTATGACCAGTCCAGGGGGTTGTGCCTCACTGAGGACTGACTTTGACTTATAGTACACTGACTACAAAACAAAGAAAGGAATTTTCGGTGTGTAGACTTAGTGGGACTAAGAAAGATCTTTGAATTGGAGTGAGTAAAGTTTATGATATTGATGGTGATGCCAAGCATGCATACTCGTCTCTTTATTAAAGTGAATTAGTGATGAATGCTGCTAATTTATTAATCTTACATCACTAATTGCTGCATGATCCGTGATACATACATACTACACACATGCATGGCAGCGCCACCTGTCTGTGACCAGTGACGATACGTACAATGCAGACCTTAACCCTAGTCCTTCAGAGTAAGGGTGCTAGATGTGAAGCACGAGGAGACACTGATGATCTGAGTGGTTGAAATTCACTTGTGATAGACAGTGATAGACAAATGGTTCATCCAATCACCTGCCAAGTGCCTTTTTCAAGCAGATTTTGAGGAGAGGGGGTCTTGCTTATTCTTTGCAGAGTCACAAGGGACTGGACCTATTGAAACAGATTGGAACCTATTACTGTAGTTCACTAAACCTTTATGTCTTTGGACTGTGGGAGAAAAATGAAGAAAACTCACATACATGAAAATAACATGCAAACTGTGTGACAACTTGCTTGCCCTCCACCTACTCAGTCCTCACTCCCATTTAGTATAGTAGGAAAATATTGTAGAAAGTTGGGACAAAAGAAAACACAGCGGAAATTGTCAACTTGGCTGCAAGTTCTTAACCATCTATCACTAAAGTACGTAAGAAAGAGGGCTGCATGCCCCTATTTATTTTCTATCTCTCTACCACTCTCTCTCCCTCAGTGTTTTACCAACCCCAGTGTATCAGCCTGTGAAAACACAGGAGAGCTGTGTAATTGCACAATTTTAGAAACAATTATACCAGCAGTGGGTGGGTGCGTACACGCTCTTTACTATAATGTTAGATGCTTTCGGGTTTATGCCAAGTAAGTTTTTACACGTACAAGGAATTTGCCTTGGTGCATTGCTGAATGAAAAAAGAAAATTAAAAAAAAGGTACTTAAATATTAAAATATAAATAAATAAAGATAAAGATATAGATAGAAAGATCTAAACTGTACAAGAAAGATATTTACAATGTGCAGGATAGAAAAACCAACGGGAGTGCATTAATGGTCAATCTCCCGGTGCTGATGCCCTGAGAGTCAGAGACATTTTTCCCCAGCTTCACGTGTTGTTTCCTGTCAGACAGGAAGTCTGTAATCCAACTGCCGGAGTAAGGCACAGTGAGCTGGGAGAGCTTGTCCTGTAAAAGAAGTGGGATGATACTATTGAAAGCAGAGCTGAAGTCCACAAACAGTCCACAAACAGGATCCTGGCATAGGTTCCTGGGGAGTCCAGATGCTGGAGGGTGAAGTGCAGGGCCATGTTTACTGCATCGTCGACAGATCTGTTGGCTCTGTAGGCGAACTGCAGGGGGTCCAGGAGTGGGTCCGTTATGGCTTTGGGAAAGCGCAAGGCACTCAAAAGACTTCATGACCACAGAGGTGAGGGCGACTGGTCTGTAGTCATTGAGTCCTGTGGTCCTTGGTTTTTTGGGGACAGGGATGATGGTGGAGGTTTTGAAGATGTCAGTGAACACCGGAGACAGCTGGTCAGCACTGTGCTTCAGGGTGGCTGGAGAGACAGAGTCTGGTCCTGCTGCTTTGCGGGGGTTCTGCCTCTTAAAGAGTCTGTTGACGTCCCTCTCTTGGAGGCAGAGAGTCGTCTCTGTGGCAGAGGAGGGTGGATACACGGAGGTGTTGAGTTGTGAAGTGGCCCAGGCTCCTGGGGGGAAAGGGGAACTGCTGAGGTGGAGCTGGTGAGGGGTGTCATGGGGGATGGTGTCAGGACTGTTCCTTTGTCTGTCAAAGCCTCCTGCCATGGTCCTGTCTGTCTGTCTGTCTGTCTGTCTGTCTGTCTCTCTGTCTCTCTCTCTCTCCCCAACTGGTCGAGACAGACGACCACCCACCTAGAGCCGAAGGATCTGTCCTAGGTTTCTGCCTTTTAACAGGCAGTTTTTCCTTGCCCTTGTCGCCAAGTGCTTGCTCATGGTGGTACTGTTGGGTCTCTGTAAATAATGTCTAGACCTACTCTATTTGAAAAGTGTCCTGAGATAACTTCTGTTATGAATTGGCGCTATACAAATAAAACTGAATTGAATTGAATTGAATTGTTATTTATGATTCGTATAAAATCTTCCCACTGACGAACTAGTAGGTTTTTTTTGTTTTTGTGAAAACCTACATGCATACCTTGTCCTGTCACCTTTCAACTTAGCAAAGCCTCAATAGCAGTACAGGTAACGATACTTGACATACCTTGTATTTTAGCTCAACAATAATTGTTAATCATTTTCTATTAAACAGTTAATGAAGGAGTTTTGAACTTGACATGACATATTTTAATCTGACATGCTGAATCAGGTGGTATAAACTAATAAGAAGTTGCATATAATTAGCATAATGATCACATGGCAAGCACCTAAGCCCCGTCTTCTCTACATCAGCTAGCAGAAGTTATCTATAGTGGATAAAAGTTCACTCATTCAGTCACGCGCAGATCACTTTTAATGAAACTTATTGCACTGCAAAACCATAGGCTTTAGCTCACTGCTTTTCCATCCTAAATGACAGGAGAATAGCTTGGGGATCTGATATAAAAGTAATTAAAGATTACCGGGAGATGGTATCTCCTGTAAAGGAGGTGATGTGTGTACGAGGAATTCTCCTGAAATGCTGAGTTGCTTTAGTTCCCTGAAGAATTACAAACTCAGTGTGGTGAATCGGATCTCTTTACTTCATGCTGCATGGAGAGACGACCTCAACATTGTTCGGAGAGACGACCTCAACATTGTTCAGAGAGCCAAGTAAACAGAAGATGAGTTGGTGCCCCCTGATTCAGTTCATCATTCAAGTGTTAATCATGTATTACGTTACGCCTTCCTTCATACAATAGTCCTTTAATATTACAGTGTTACTGATTTGACCATCAGCGGATTCTTAAATATAAAATGTTAATTTCCCACATACGATCCACTAGAGAAATTAGGTAGCCCTCTGATTTGTTGGACTACAGAAACAGTGTGTTAAAAATGACTAATTAGTAAATTGTAAACAAATAAAATGTAAGAGATTTTGAATACTGAAAGAGAGAAATGATTCAAAGAAGCAACAGTCACAGTAAATGTATAACTGCAGGCAACATACTGATCATATGTCATATACAAACTAGTTCTAATAGATTATAATCATGCTCTTGTAACAGTTTGGGTACGTGTTTCTTCGTTGAGCTAATGTTAGCTTGGAGAGAGTGGATAAAGGCGACATGCATAAACTCATAGCCACGCTGGTACTGGGGTTTCCACAACACTTGATTACTAACACATCAACCTGATCAAGCCCGGTTGTACGGCTACTATTTTATCATACATGAACAAAACAGAGGCCAAACGTAGTCCAAACATTACTGTTGAGTTAAGAGGCAAAAGGAAAAGCAGTAGCTCAGCAAACAGGCATCAATTCACAACAGGTGTACCACTCAAGTAACTCAAGACAGGTTAGGTGCTGTCTGATGACGCTTCTCTCGTATCTAGGCAACACAGAGTCTTAAAGGCACATTTCATAATTTCGGCTGTCACACTCTTATGGTTGCTGTTTTTCTTTGTTTCAGATGGTGTGGGCGTCCACCAACAGAGTGGGATGTGCAGTGCAGACCTGCTATAACATATTTGTGTGGGGAGTTCAGTGGAGAGAAGCAACCTTCCTTGTCTGCAACTACTAAGTATGAGTTGACCCTAACTGTGTAAAATTGTGGGGATAGGGCAAATCACAAATGTAATATCATAACTATGACACAGACCTTTCTGTTTTAAGGATTCAAGGAAATGTATTTATTAGAACACAAGCAGAACAAAAAGAGACTGTCAGTCCTTCATGCTACACACATAGAGAAAAATATTTAGATTTATAGAACAACATAGAAAACTAAATAAAAAAAGCATTAAGTTAGGTATATACATATATACAAATGCGTATACACCCAGGACATAATTCTGCAGTGCATCTTTTGAATTTGCGTCTGGGGGAATGTAAATGCAGCAACAAGATATTGATGATAATCTGGTTTCGTCTTGACAATAAAATAGATAATTTCCATCCACTTTTCCACATGTTTGAGCTCCAAGCATCATCATTGTCAACACAGAATCTGCCTTCTGTCATCCTGCGTTCTGTCCACCCATCAAGTGCTTGATCTGGAATGTTGATGGTGCAAGATGTGCGTACAACAGTCTCTGATTTCCCATCGAGTCTCATTTTGTCCAGACCAAGCCAGGAGCACCCTTATGTCCAAGCTGTGCCAGCATAGTTCCTTTACGACTCTCTTCCCTCTTCTCCTGGAGCAACAGCACCTGTTATGGTGGCTTGTCCGTCTTGTTTGGCTGGGTGGATTATCTCAAAGTCTGTTGAGATACTCACACATTTTTTTAACACTTATAAAACCAGGCATATGCCAGGTCTTGCGCACTTTTCCTTTATACATCCCAATCAACATGAAATTGACCACACGTGAAGCCACTTACCTTGCCTTGCCTTCCTCCCCAAAATTGATACCCCGCCTTGCCTTGCCTTCTTCTGAAAAATAAATATCCTGAAATGAGTGGCAGAGAGTAACAAGAGCAGTCAATGCAGCCAGTTCAAAGAACCAAATTATGGCAGAATAAAGAAAAATGGTCTGATATCAAGGTGGATGTCAAAAGACCAGTGTGTGTGGAAAACCAGAATTGATGCCACACAGCAGTTAGAATCCCTCATCTCTGACATCCTGCCCGCATGTGAGGGAGATTCAGATTTGTATGTTACTATAGCTACTGCACTCAGCTTTTGTGGGCTCAGGTCAGGTTCATATAGATTTTTTCCCCACTCAGCGACACACCCACTGAGAAACCAACTCTGGTTATTGGCAGCTAAATAGTCAGAAACGTGAAGTTAGTGATGCCAGTGACCACAGTTAAATGCATCCTGGAGGCCAGAGTGGGCAACATTGAATTGTATTTTAAACGGCTCCCTCATGATAAAATGTCCCCCAACCACTTAACTATTTAAAGAGAAAGTAAAAACAGGAGGAGTTAAACATAAAAATCTTATTTAAAACTTTAAAGAAAATAAATATTTATCAGGTATCTGCCTTCTTAAGCTGTTAATGAATTAATATCTGATTATAATATTGATTTACTCTGTCTCATTTCCAACTGGCCATATGTGAAATTAGCTCTGAAAACAACAATAAAGCATGTAAAATTAGAACAGAAGAAAGCAAAACATGAAGCAGTTATACAACATAAAAAGCACAGAGGAGTAAGCATCATGTAAATACAATGTATAGTAGGCTGTTAATAAAAAACAATGTTAAGCAGACAATCAGATCAAACATGTAAACACAATGTTTACATTACGGAAGGACAGGTATAACCAGAAGGGACACAATATGACAAACAAACTTGACAAAAAGCCAAAGAAATTAGGTCAGACAAGGCAAGCATGCAATATGATGGCAGGTCTGGCTGCGCTTTAACCAAGATTATATGCAAAGGAACGGTAAGATTCACTTTCTTTGTATGGAATGTCATGGAAGGATGTCCAAAAACTTAGTAGTTGTAAGTTCTTACTGTAAAGGCTTTCCTCCTTGGGACAACCCTCCACCCTGAAACAAGCTACAGCCTTTTGGGTGACAGAAATGATGTCTGGCAACCCAAACTGGAAGTGGTAGCAGTTTCCTGGCATTGTCAGTGATATCAATGTTTCTACCATCTGTTTCTAACTAATAAGAATCAACACAGATTTCATTTTCAATTTATCATTCCCTTTTGCAGTCTGTGGTATAGTAAATACCACAGACCTGCTCTGCCTCTGAGCCACCGCAGTTAGCCTGTTTATGGTCAGCACTGTGCATTGTAAACAAACTAGCCAACAGTTTGCAAGGCTGAAGAAGGATGCATGCACAAAAGCCCACGTCTAGTCAGAAGGAGAAACACACCAAAAGGGCATGTAAAAGTAGTCATTGCTGCAGTGATGTGACCACAATTGGATGTGGTTACAGGTGCAACAGAGCTTACTGACCACACCCAACCACAGCCATTTTGGCTGCTCAAAGATGTGGTCAGAGATGCAACACACCTGAAAGGGCTGTGTGGATCTGTATTGAGCCCCAGACATGCATACATCTCAAGTGGTTTTATTTTGCAGATAATGCTGTTTCTTGTTCTCTGCAGGGTAAACTGGATAGGAGAGCCTCCGTACAGAGTGGGGATTCCATGTTAAGCCTGTCCATCCAGCCATGGAGGTGTGTGCAGCAACAATATGTGCTTTCCAGCTTTCTAGTCCAACTACATGTACTGGTTCAAATAAAGAGTGAGGAGAATGCTGGTTGTGGTAATATGGGAAATTATACATTATTCTGCTTGTAACTGCATTACAAAATGTGTTATGTTATTCAATTCAATTCAATTCAATTTTATTTGTATAGCGCCAATTCATAACAGAAGTTATCTCAGGACACTTTTCAAATAGAGCAGGTCTAGACCGAACTCTTTATAACATTATTTACAGAGACCCATCAGTACCACCATGAGCAAGTGCTTGGCGACAAGGGCAAGGAAAAACTGCCTGTTAAAAGGCAGAAACCTAGGACAGATCCTTCGGCTCAAGGTGGGTGGTCGTCTGTCTCGACCAGTTGGGGTGAGAGAGAGAGAGAGAGAGAGAGAGAGAGAGAGAGAGAGAGAGAGGTGCACAGTAACAACAGTACTGGCAATGGCAATCTAGCAGGACCATGACAGGCTCCACCAGGATCGATAAGAACCTGCGAGACGAGAAAGCACAAGAACTCCAGGGAAGAAGTGAAGTTAGTAACATGCATTAATGGGACATGAATGAGTGCAGAAAGAGAGAGGAAGAGAGGAGCTCAGTGCACCATGGGAAATCCCCCAATAGTCTAGGCCTATAGCAGCATAACTAAGGGATGGTTCAGGACTCACCTGATCCAGCCCTAACTATAAGCTTTATCAAAGAGGAACGTCTTAAGCCTACTCTTGAGTGTGGAGAGGGTGTCTGCCTCCCGAACCACAACTGGAAGCTGGTTCCATAGGAGAGGAGCTTGGTAACTGAAGGCTCTGGCTCCTGTTCTACTTTTAGAGACTATAGGAACCACAAGTAGCCCAGCATTCAGAGAACGTAGTGTTCTATGATTTGTTAAACTGGTAGATTACTGCTCTGAAAAAAATATCATGGCAATCAGAATAGACATCAAAACATAATTATTTTTAGCACTGAGAGCCAATTGTCTGGAGTAAATTGTGTGATTATTTGTTTGGACAGGCACACCTGTAATGCAGGAGACTGACTTTACATATCTTTTTATTTGCATATTGTTTTCCCCTCATTTTTAGATTCATAATGTTATTTAGACAAATTAGGACATTGTAGATATTATTTTAAAGGGCCAATGTGTAGGATTTAGTGACATTTATCAGTGAAGTTACCGATTGCAAACAACTGAATTCCGCTCCCCTTGGACACATTAGACCCTATGTAGAGCCAGTTTGGTTTGTGCATTCACTACTGTAGAAACATAGCTGCTTTACATGGCAGACTCCATAGAAAAGTACCTGCTCCCTCTGTGGATGAAAATGGCAATTTTTTATTTTCAGGTGATTATACACTCATGAAAACATACTTATGAATATTATATTCCACATCTGCCAATATATCCCCAACCTGTGGTCAGGACCCCCATTATTCTCAGTGTTTGTGCACTGGTGGCTTCAAATTTCTATATCTCACTTATAGAATTTGCCTGCTGGAGCAGGACTAACTTCCAAACTATTTGTGATGTCACAAATCATGCTGGTAGGCCTTGCCCCTTAAAATCAGCTTTTCAATGAGCACAGAGAAACATTTCACTTTCAGCAGATGAATGTGAAAACACCCTTATAATGTCAAACTCTGCACATCCATCTTTCTGCACAATGAAGAAGCAAAACAGATTTGACTGAAGGGGGCTTTAAAATTGCTGTTGAGTATCATCCTGTTTCTGAAAATTATACGGCATAGATGGAAATATCTTAAGGTGCAGAAATTGAATGGCTAGAATTGTGCACAGTATTTGTAATAGTGCAAAAAGATAAATAAAAACAGTAATATTCTTATACATCAGGCATGATGTTCTGTTTAATTTCTCAATTAGATTTTTGTTGATGGCTTCCCCTTTCACTGTATATGCAAGTGTGTGTACACAGTATTAGTTTTAACTTTTTCAGCAATTTAAGCTACAGTAGCTCGGTTCATATGGAGGACTGAAAGTGCCACAATTAAATAAATAAATACACCATTAAATAATTACTTAAATGTGTCATTAATTAATTAAAATTGGAATTAAATACATAAATATGATATTAAGTGTGTCATTAATTAATTCAAATGCTGATTCATTTAATGCAAAATACATATATAATTATTTCACTATTTACATTTACATTTCATGGTCCTGTGTTGCAGTGCTTCATGAATTACTTAAAACTGTCAAACTCACCCATCAAAAGTTGGTAGGCGGAACCTAACGCCTCATTGGTTACCCTGCCCATCAAGCCAAGACAAATCAATTCCAGATAATGGATCGATGCAGAGCTAGTGAACACATTCCAATACACTGGGTGGCGCTATTGGACTACTTCTTCTAAATCTGCAGTCACTCTGTGGTCAATATCTTGGTCAGAAAGTGCGGAAATAACTCCAAGAACTTCAATAAGTTCCTCTGCTTTACTCGCTACATGCTCTGGGTCAGCAGCTCCTGCTTCCACATCCTCTGCTAAGTCTACAAAATAAAATAAAGTGTTTAACTTTGAAAAATAAAGTGTAGCAGCAGCTTGAGTTTCCCTTTTTCTTTGTTAACTGTTTCATATCTTGATTAACAGTCTCAACAGATTTTATAAATGACTATCAACACATCTTTACAATTGAACAGTTTCTCTTTCTTTCCCTTTTATATCTTTCTATACACTTTCTGTTGTTCAGTGAGAGAATTGAGCTCTAACCTCTCTCCCTCGTTGGGCAGTGAATGAATGGGTCAGGATCAGTGTTGGTCATCTTACTTTAAAAAAGTAATTAGTTATAGTTACAAATTACTTATCCCAAAAAGTAACTGAGATAGTAACTCAGTTACCACATTGTAAAAGTAATTAGTTACTCAGCAAAGTAACTGTGATGTTATTTTTTATGGTCTATAATTACATTTTATAACATCTTCTATAACGTTAAAGATGTTTATAATCACTGAATAAAGAATAAAACACTATATACAGTATTTTAGAACATTTGGTTTTTATTTGAACTCAATAGATTACAGCCGGCCATATGCACAGAAATAAAAATATATACAAAATAAATATTGAGAATAAGATTCACACGTTACATAAACATTCTTGCCTTTAACTTCAGTAAGCGAGTAGTAGTGTCGGTACTTCCAGTTTGATATCGCTACCTTTGAATTTCCCTAGCTCGTCGCCATTGTCTCTGTCTTGGCATCCGCCCACCCAGCCAATCATCATCGCATTTGCAACGGTGTCATCATCACCACCCTGCCCTCTCCCGGCAGCTGATGTGTGGCTGTCAGAAAGCCTGACACCTGCACTTCATTCACCACATTGTAGGAACGCAAGTAACGCTTCTTAGAGAGCGCCATAAATCTTCTGTTGTCTCGCGCTCACTCATCTCTCCGTTTCCTCTCCATCTATCTGTGACTTCTCTTTCCGTCTGTCTCTCCTCTCTCATCGCTCTCATCTCTGTATTCAGTCGCGCTGTTTAAACAGATTTGATTGGCTGAGCAGCATCACGTGGGATGGCTTAACTAGCGTGCGATTGGTCTGTGAGCTTCCTGATCTGCTAAACAAATACCGTAAAGACTAGAAAAGCTGTGCTGGCTAAAATAGAAGCTCCCCATCAAAATTTAGAATCCTCAATAATGAATTGATTATAGGTCTGGGTCCGCATAGGACGGTGTCTGGGTCCAGACTCGCCTGTTAGCAACCTCTGCCCGAGAAAGTTCATGAAGATCTTCCAGGCCAGACCAAATGACCACCACCACGACTTCAGACCAAAGCAATGGATCAGGCTAGATCTGCGTTGGCCCCACCCACTGAGTTTGATGGCTGGCTTTGACAGTTTTAAGTAATTCATGAAGCACTGCAACGCAGGACCATGAAATGTAAATGTAGATAGTGAAATAATTATATATGTACTTTACATTGGATTAATTAATGACACATTTAATATCACATTTATGTATTTCATTCCAATTTTAATTAATTAATGACACATTTAAGTAATTATTTAATGGTGTATTTATTTATTTAATTGTGGCACTTTCAGTCCTCCATAGGGTTCACCACTTTTCTTTCCTTGGACCACTTTTGATAAGTCCTGACCACTGCAGACTGAGAACAAATGTTATAGCGGCCTTCTAGTCCGACCACTCAAAGCGCTTTTACACTACATGCCACATTTGCCCTTTCTCACACACATTCACACAGTGATGATGGCAACAGAATGAATGAATGAAAATAAACTCATTCATTCACATTGACATACCGATGACGCAGCATCAGGAGCAATTTAGGGTTTAGTATCTTGTTCAAGGATACTTTGACATGCAGTGTTATTCACTTCACCTGTCAGTGGTCATAATGTTATGGCTAATCAGTGTATGAGTATATATGGAGGCATGCATTAACATTTATTGTTTTTAACGATATAATATATATTTCCAAGTTTTCACATAAATCTTTTTTTAAACATTAAACGTCATGTGTATCAGTGTTGTGGTTGTCTCTCAGACGCTGTCATAGAGAGACTTATCCAGTTTTAAGCCACATTTTACCAAAATTTTATTTTAACTTTTTAAACTTTTACAAAAAATAGAAAAAACCTGCATACAAGATGGATATACAGCACCTGACTTTACATGAAGTAATTGAAGTAATAAAATAAAGACAGAGGCTATATGAGACAATAACCAAAGTAGTCCAGTGCTTCCTGTCTCATGATACCGTCAGGATTATGAATAGAAAACAAAACAAAACAAAAAAAACAAACACACACACACACACACACACACACACACACACACACACACACACACACACACACACACACTCACAAAAAAAAAAAAAACAAGCCCAGAGAGGAGGATCAAAACCTTAGTCAGTACAGAAAAAATATTAAAAAAAACCATACAAATACATAGCAGCCTGTTTCATATGTTGGTTAGGTCTCATCAAGTAAAGCCAAAATGGCTTCCACGCTTTCTCATAATAGTTTGGTGCATTCCCTCTGCTAAGGCGAATCTGTTCCATCTTCGAAACACAAACCATTTTGTTGAGCCACCTCTTAAAGCAAGGAGATGATGGAGACTTCCAGTTGAGTAAAATCAATTTCTTGGCAGCTACCATGCCTGTTTTGAGAGCCTGCTTACAGTGGGAAGGGAGGGTCGATGTCCTTTCAGAGGAGCCAGATTGTCAGGTTACAGTCTGGTTGAATGTTTATTTTATACTGCTTAGAGAACCAATTAAATACGTAACTCCAAAAGTTGTCCAGTACTGGGCAGTATCAGAATAAATGTGAAAGTGAAACTTTGGCTCTGCAACATCTATCACACATGGGAGAAACTGAATCAAATATTCTATTAAGTTTAGTTTTGGAATAATGCAGTCTATGTATGACTTTAAATTGAATTAACCAATATCTAGAGTTTACAGAACACTTCTGTATACCGGACAGGCCCTCCTCGCATAATTCATCTGACAGTGGAACTCCCAGTTCTTTTGCCCATGCCTCCCTGAGATGACTGGTACTCGCTGGTGTCTCAAAAGCAGTGATAAAGCGGGAAATCAAATGTTTACAGTTTGATTGTAAGAGTGTTTCATTCAATTGTGAGGTCTATTTGGGAAATTAGAAACGTGTTCCCTAACAAAATGTCTCAACTGTAAATATTGATAAAAATGTGACTGAGGGAGGTGATATCTAGCCTGGAGCAGAGGGAAAGAAGCAAAATTGTTATCTATGTAAAAATCTGAAATGGAACGTAGGCCCCTCTCCCTCCAGTCCCAAAAAACCCCATCCATCAATCCTGGTTTTAACAAGTGATTGCCTGTTATTGGGGCATTTACCGAAACATTTGGTAATCCAAGGAATTTTCTTTTTTGATTCAAAATCTTCAAAGAATTATTAAGAACAAAGATGTAGCTAAATAACTTGTGAGATGGTTGTGCATTTGAAAAGACCAACGCTGGGAGCACGGTTTGTGACACAGACATGGATTCAATCTTTGGCCAGAGGAACAGTCATCATAAGGAGGACCCCACTGCCAGAAAATGAGAGCCCTTGCATTTGCAGCCCAGTAATGTGCCTAAAAACAGGGAGGCTGAGACCCCCACTTTTTAAACTCTTCTGCAGATGGACTTTAGAAATACGAGGGGGTTTATCTGCCCAGACAAATGACAGGAAGGCTGAATCCAGTTGTTTAAAAAAAAATAATGGCAAATAAATAGGGAGGTTTTGAAAAAGATCTTGGAAGTGCAACCATTTTAACAGCATTGATGCGGCCGATCATTGACAGAGGAAGCAACTTCCAGTTCCTAATATTAGCTTTTAGTTTATCCATCATATCCAAAAAATTCAATTTCAGTAAAAGTTTGGGGTTTCTGGAGATCTTAAGGCCAAGATACCTAATATGGGTAGTAACTAATTTAAATGGCAAAGATTTCAAGAAAGTGTCAATGGCATGAACTCACATTTGTCCCAGTTAATTGTATACCCAGACAATTTACTAAATAATTTTATATAATTCAGAAGGTTGGGAACTGAGACCACTGGGTCTGATAAACAGATCAATAAATCATCAGCATACAGATTAACAAGGCTTTCAACATTACCAAACTTTACCCCATGAATACCTGGGTGACCCCTTATGCATATTGCAAGTGGTTCCAAGGTAATATCAAAAAGAAGAGGAGAAAGAGGGTCGCCCTGCCTTACACCCCGCTTCAACTCAAAATGGGATCTATCTGAATTAGTGAGAATAGAGGATACTGGGTTAAGATAAATTATTTTCACCCAGTCAATGAAATTTTCCCCAAATCCAAATAGTTTTAGTGTCTTCAGCATGTAAGGCCATTCAATCTGATCGAATGCCTTCTGGGTGTCAAGAGATAAAACAGCAGCCTGTATATCTGAATCACAGACTGATAATAAATTATAAAAATATATAAGTAATTATATTTTGTCCACGAATACTTATATAATAATTATATATTTTTAAAATAATTATTATTAAATAATTCCAAATGGTCTGTCCGCTTCCTTTCATAGCTTTTCCCCTGGCTGC